CTCAGTGTAGCGCAACTTTTCTTGGCTACCCCAATTGTTGGTTCATGGGGAAGTTTGTAATACTGTACGCGTGGTTGAGCTCGCGGATTATTTTAGGACTTTTCTGTGGGATATCGATTGCTGAAGAATTTTCTTTTCTGGTTAAGGAGCAGAAAGGGACTATGCTACGGTAGAAGTATTAGAATGGATAAAAGTAGTGCCGGCTCGCACAAAATTTAGGTACAGTAATCTGGAGAGCGATCAAGGGGGGGGGGGGGGGCAGTGGTTTTTGTATGGGACTTATCTCTCTCCTCATAGGGATTTAGTATATATACATGTATGCATATTTACTTATTTGTTTATTTATTTACTTATTTATTTATTATTTCATCCAATACAACAGAACACAGAAGCAGAAAGGGCAGACTTCGCGGAACCAAATATGCAGTCCCCTATTCGGTTCTTGAAGGCATTAATGCTAATATTCAGGAAAAAGCCTTTGTTTCTATATATTGAAGAAACCTGTTCCAAATCTAATTATAATAAATATTATTAAAATAAACAAATAAATAAATAATATAGAAACCTCAGATGGTGCGAAGCAATTAAGCGCTTCGTGGGGCTATCTGTGACCATTGTTCGCCACAGAACTGGTCGGGTTTGGAATTATTACGATGCCTTCCAAGCAATATTGAAGAAAAAACTTCCCATTTCTTCCTTGCTAAATGTTTTTTCTGCATCAACTTCACCGAGTGGACTTTATTTCGGTACTGCCTTGAAAGAATTGCATTCAGGAGGCGCTCTTCGGACCGTCTGTTGCTCGTGGTGGCTATGCTGACGCTTATGAAAGCAGTCAGCTTCTCGACTCCTGTCATGAGAAGGTTTTGAGACTTTTTTATTTTTTATAGAAGGAATCTTATTTTTAGAGAAATCGATGCTTTTAGGGTGGCCACGACGACACCGATCAAAGTGATGACTCCAAAGAGGAAGAAGAGGAGGAAGAGGAACAGGGTGGAGCGAAAAAGGTTTTTCTTTCAAAAAGTTTTTTCTACTTTTTTATACTCCTATTGCTTAGTTTCAACGATAACTTCTTTTCAAGAATTTATGTACATTATTCTTCCTGGAATTTGATATAATTGAACTCCATAACATAATTCTGCTGACTTTTTGATGCAATGCAAGCATTTTTAACCATTTCGGTTCATTCAATTCATTCTTTCCATTTTTCATTCTCCGTCATGTGTTGTTCGTTAGGCGTTTTTAGGTTGCCTGTATGACCATTAGCAGCTAGAAATTCCTCTTTTCCAAGTTACGACTTCATTAGGGTTTATCAATCGATGGCATAGAAAAAAGGGGTCTATTCCGGTAAGAGTGGGCAATGCGGTGCACTGTCTGCTCCAGCAAGTTTGGCTCAAGGAGTCCTTTAGAGTTACGAGCTCTCATCAGCGAAAACTGCACAAGAACCCGTAGTTTTCTCTCCCTTTCGAGGCTTAGTCCTGAACCTTTACACTGGGAAAATATGCTCCGTGGTTTTCAACACGTTGAGCGCTTTGAAGCGCATGCCCCTTGACTGGAAGACCTGAAAGAAAGTGTGCCAAATTGGACAGCAAGGCTTAGTAAAGTATAACATCTAGCTCTTGAATGAGCCTACTTACTCTGCTACTCAACCCTTGCGCGGAGTACAGCAGCTTAACCGGACTTTATTTCTGCTCCGGAGAGCCTTCTGGCTGTTAAGACTGCCTCTTTGTATGTCATCAAAAATCAATCCCAGTCGAGTCTGTTCATGACGAACCCATTAGTGCAACCTGGATTTGCACTATTGTAATACTTGGGGCAGAAACTTTTGGTTATTAGCCCATTATTCAGTTTCATTCTTCGAATTTGGTATACTGATAATGATAACGCCGAGTACGTAAAAAATGATAATTATTCTGGCCATCTGTGGTAGTTGGTTCAAGTGATTCTTACCATGGCTGTGAGATGCTATACATCCAAGGTTTACTCGGCAGTTTGTTAGTGCAGTTTCAAGAGGTTAAATTCACCACGCTCTTCGAAGTCGTCGTTGAATGATTATATTTTTTCACTTGAGAGCTCGCAGACCTTCGCATTGTGGCGGCCTTTTACTAGCTAACCCTATATTTTTTCTACTATTCATCGTTTTTCACCTCTTTGCTCGTGTAGATGTCGTGAAACTGTTCTCCCATGGTCGCACTATTTTAGTAAACTACTGCGGTATCACTTCATGTAAAGGGAATGGAGGAAGGTTTCGCTGCGTGCGTGCCAGCAAGGAGCCGAGAACATATTTTTCCAGTGAAATTCTGGCATCTTGTTAGAACCCTGACATTGTTTCTCACTTTTCCGATGAAATAACACCGAAAATTTCTCCTGAACACACAGATAAACAACAACCTCAGTCGGCGAACACATGTTCACACTTTTGATGATTTATTTATTTAGTTATTTTATTTCATATTACTACATATTATTACAGCACTTAAAATTGCGCGACCTAAAATGCCGCTAGTAGAGCAAGTATCAGAACCTTTACACTGGAGTGGTTAGAAGGCCAAACGCGGAGACCGATGAAAGAAAGCCAAGCAGTTTACATTACAAAACACTTTTAAAAGCTCCTTACTAATGCGCATTAAGATCTGTTACTGCAAAAGTGCAGTTGTCGTCGCATAGGATGCCTTCATCAGAAAGCAAGACAGATTTGGTTGAACGAAGCAAATTCAGGAAAATATCAAGCATGGGCGGAAGCAACGGAGTAGTTTAGCTTTCGCCTCGCATGCGCCCTTAAAGTTCTACTGGACTTCCCAAGAGAGTGCTTCAGAGCTGAGTGTATCGGGTCTTCCGGTTTGAATCATTCGACCTCCACGGCATGGTAAGGCGAAGTTTAGGCCTCACTCAAACAGACGTCGCTATTGCTCTGCGCGGACTTTGATTCTGCAAGCGCGAGAGGGTGTGATTCTGATGGGGTGAAGTTCGGCCTGTTAGTTTTATGAAGAGGGTGGAAGTGCATATTTACGTAAGAGTTCAGAGGTTTGTGTACGCGGTATTTACAGAGTTCCACGGAAGTTGTTGAATGCCACGGAAAGTACAGGTGTTCTGAAGATTTTCCTGGCCTGTACATAGCTCCTACTCGATGAGTATGGGTCGTGAAACCCTCCAACAACCGCCGATGCGTATTCGGGTAATGGCCATAGTCTTTTGTCCATGTATTTTTGGGTCGAATTCCCTCAACACGTAGCTTATTCTACTTCGCGGAAGAATAGCTACAATCAATGCATGAGAAAACCATTCTGCGCGAAACACTCATGCTAGCTACTGTAATACCTTGTTTCCAGAACCACAACATGGTCTGTCAAGTGCGGACCACACAACACAAGTGACGCCGGCCTCTACCAAATGTAAACGCTTTCTGTCAATGAAATGATTAGCTGGTTGCAATTGTTAGTTAACTTGGTCAACAATTAAACCAACTTTCATTTGCAACTATCAGCTATTTCAAACATAGGGACAGATATTTACTTGAAGCTCTGTCATTAGGTCTGCACCGACGCGTGTTTAAAGGAATCTTGCGCGGAAAATTCTTGCACTCTTTCCTAACATGAATATGTCAGTTGTGATCACTGGAAATAGCACACAAAGTTTCACGCATGAAGATTCGGTTTCTGAAGAGAAACAAACGTACAAAAACTACACGTTATGGACCATCGAAGGACCAGGAGGCAGAGCCAGGCGAGGCATGGAAAGAAGACGGCGTTTGGCCGGCTACGTACCAGGCGACGCAATGAGAGAATCGGGTTAAAGCGCGCGATTTCGGAGAGTGGAGACAAATCGATCGATGGAATAGGATGGAGTAGAAGTGTAAGATGTGAATGCAACGAAGCAGAAGGCCAGAAAGAGCTTCTAGTGAATGCACTCCAAGAACCAAGTTTGAGCATCCCCGTCGCCAGCATTCGTGAAAGACGTCCGTGGGCAATTCGAACGCGTAGCAGCCTTTTCGAGTTTTCGAATTTCTAATCAAAACGAAAGCAATACTTCAGTTCTTTTCACTATTATCGTGGATAATGAGTCTCAAGCCAGTGATTTATGGCTGAAATAGAATCATGATTTTTCCGCGCAAGATTCCTTTAACACTTTGACGACAGCGCGGGACACATACGTCCCGCACTCCACACGGAAGAGACTTGTTTTTCCTAAATTGTGCCTCCATTTTCATGCTTCAAGACTGGCCCTTCCTAATGTTGGATACGAAAAATAGTTCTCTCGTTACCACTAATGAAATTATTGGTAATGTAGTAACTGTTAATGCAAATTTGTAAAGTAAGGTGGGTAGGTTCGCGCACAAGGGCGTGTCGTCAACGTGTTAATTTTACTTTCCTCATCTTTACTCGTGTGGTCTTCAATCCCTAGGGAGGGGGGGAGGATATCAGGAAGCTCACTCAGCAGGAAACGGGGGAGACATTTAGGAATAAGGAAGGTTGTTTGCGAAGTCGGCTCTACATAACCCCCCCCCCCTCCCGGACTGATGCTGCCCTGTCTTCCCCGACCCCACTGCTGAACTACTCCACATCAGATCAGCCGACAGTTAAAGGCCCCAACAACTCGCCCCTTGGGAGACGGACTTTTTGGTGCGTCCGGGGTTGCACGCGGCGAATCGCGCGGCGGGCTGCGCGGCGATCCGGACGAGGCAAGTCTTCGCGGGCTTCTGCGGTGGAATCCAACACGTCAGAACGTGTGCAGATCGCGGATAGAATCCACAAGGTTCTGCGGTGCGGATTACATTCCAACGGATATTCAAAGGCAGCAGCAGGAAGAGAAGAAAGGAATAGCAAAAGACCGTTATAGCTTGGATTGCTGGCGCTTGCTGTTAAGGGGGAGGGGGGCCCCCCCCACCAGGTCATGAGGCGGAGAGATTCGACCAATTATTGATGTTTAAGGACTAAAGCTTCTTGAGGGGGGGAGCTCTCGTGGAGAATGTAGTTAACGGCATCTTCTGATTCCGAGCCCTATTTCCTTCTCGTGAGCTTGATTCTAGTAGGCACTTCCAATATGGACGTATTATTGAAATTAACTTCCCAAGGACAGAGCGCCGCCGCAATCAGCAACTTTATTGAGTTGAAACTACAATAACATCAACCATCCTCACTAAATAACCTCCATTTTCAGTGCTTCTTATCCATATTCATAATATGATAATAGTGTCATCTCCGTACAGTTTCCCTATTTCATCTCCTTTCGCTGTAATCTTCTCACTGAAACTGCTGCATGCATTTCACTCACCGATTTCACCCCCCCGTTAGAATGAGCCGAAAGATAATTCTTCAGCCAGTAAACTATTGTGGATATAGACGCGATCTGGCACAAAGTTTAGGAAGAAGGTGACAAATTGATTCCCCTGACAGAGAGCCGGCGCAAGCTCACCCTCAGTCCGCTCGGCCGCGCAGCCCGCCCGCCGCATTCGACCGCGCCCAACAGTGGACCGACCCCAGCACCAAACGTCGTCGACCCCATTGCTTGCTCTGCCCCCCTAACTAAACCTATGCCCGGCCGTAAGGCTACCTATGACGTTAACCAAACGACGGATACCTTGCTGCTCCATAATCGTATCTCTTGAAAGACGTGAAGGAAAATTATAACATATTCATAAAGAGATGAACGCGCCACGTACGATCCTAGCGTGAGAGCAAAGAAAATGTTAAATATAATATATCCATAAAGGAGATGATGCGTCATGTGCAGCATTTGTGCGCACAGTTCGAAATAGACGTGGTGCACCGTGTGCATCACGCGGTATTTGGTTAATGTTAACCATATCTCATAATATACTTAAGCAACAAGTCACGCAGATCCAGGAAGAGCCATGTCGGGTTTCTAAAGATTTCTTTGGCATTTTCTCCTCACCGTTTGCTGTCAGGTTTACCGACCGTGGGATTGGCCCTAGATAGGTGAAATGCCTGGCTTGATCCTCATGCATTCTAATCCAGCGTGCCTTTCCCATCGCTATCCATTGAAATTTTCTTCAGGGGAACATGTTCTTCACGAAACATTCCACGAAGGAAGTTAAAGCCGTGCAGAGCTTAGTCAAGTGACGGCCGAAGTCGTTTTTCAGCACCCGTTTCC